ACATGGCTTAATCGATTTCTTTTTTCATCCTGATCATTTATGTATACATTTGTCTATATCTATCTCGATTCGTTTTGGCTGTTACAAACAACCGTTATGTGAACAAAATTAATATACCCTTGTGCACAAGTGCGCTCGGGTATAACAAGTGAAAATAACCGATCACGCTCATATGTATACCCGTAGTTGCTTATGTAACGTATACGCCACGTGGTACCATACGCAGTCAACTAACACGTTAATTTGCACACCTTAACTTAAGAGTTATATTTGGGTGGTTCACAAGGTGTCGTACTTGTCGTATTGTTGTATGCTGTAAAGTTTTTAACGGCTAAATAAATGTCTAGAGGACTTGAAATCACCACCAACTATTTTTTAATTGTGTGAAATTTCATAATAAAACGTTTATGTTAGCTTGCGAATTCCTTAAATATAGTTTTAGCCGTTTAAAGTTTATGGCAGGCAACAGTACGACAGTATACAACACCTTGTGAACTCCCTAATTATTTAAAAGTAATTAAATATTGCAGTGAGAGATTTTTACACGGTATTCCTTAAGCACATATGTATGTATATATTACCCTCTTCATGTATATATATAAGAATTTTAGAATGAATTTCGAGTTTGCCAATAAAAATTGTAAAAATGAAATTTTAGTTTCTCTAGTCTCTCAATGTAAATAATATATTTTTTACTTGGTGACACACTAGTCCTATTACACTAGATTCGGTCGTTGTGGCAAGAAGAATATTTTGGCCGTTTAATTTGAACTTTTCTAAGTTATTAAGATTAAAAATAACTTCAAAAAATTTCAAAAATTAAAAATTTGTTGGCTGAGACCGGTATTCTGCATGCATGCATGCATTTTTTTAATTTCAAAACAATTTTAAGCTAAAATTTTAAAGATGCTTGATTTCAACATCAGGAACTCCACTGATTGTAATAAATGCAATGAAAATGCTGTAGCCTTTTTTCTGCCGATAGAAGGGTGTGACACTAAAAAAAACCGTATTTATATTTTCAAAATACGTGTTTTGTGTTTGTATATATACTTTACGCAAAAGTGTTTCGTATTTGTACTTCAAATACTTATTATGTATTAAATTCCGTCCACCCCCTATAAAATTGATCGAATTTCAACTCGCCCTGGGCTTCTAAAATGGAAGGAAAAGTTGTTATAGGAAAACGAAAAAATATTAATCACCAAGTCGGGGATGCTCTATCTTTTGGTCTTATTACCGGTCGAACCCGAAAGTCGGTAATACGATGAAAAGATAGAGCATATTCGACTTAGTAATTCAAACCTTTTCGTTTTCCAATAAATTAATTTTAAATAATTTCAGCAGTCCAGGACGATTGGAAGTTCGAAGGTAATTTAAAAGTTGAAGAGCTACTTCCGATAGACCGGGTGGTCTTGGACATCATTTTTATAAAAATTTGACAGCTGATACAGGGTAGCAAATAATAATATATCTATTCGATGCTATGTGTTATGCTCGTTTGATCTGCTGTTTTTTAATAATAAAAAAAACAAAGATGATATTGCGCTTTTCATAAAAAGTAAAAATTATTTTTGCTCAAAAAGGCCATCTACTTTTTTTTTGTCAGTTGGTATATATGGCGTTTTGATTATTTTTGTTTTTAAAGAGATTTAAACGAAATTTAAAGAAAAATATTTTTAGCCGAATGAAGTTAGTTCAATAATAGTAGTAAGCTTATAATAATTCGAATTGAGCGGAAAATGTTTACGCATTTTGGGAACGCAATTACAAATTAAATGTGAATCGATGCCACATCTGAAAAAATTTATTCAAGGTCAAAAAATTTTTGGAAGAAGTCTGAGTTGAGAATTTGAAGGTGTTAGAAAAATTTTGAACATAGTTTCATAAATTACTCGGCCACCTCTACGACCTGTACTAGGTCACCTCAAAAGTTCGGCAATATTTTTTTTTATTTTTATATTTTAGTTTTCCTACAAAATTTTTAATAAAACTCGGCTCAAGCCCAATGAAATTGTTGAATACTCGTCTAGACAACAAAAATAACAAACAAAAAAGGGATTTAAACTTACATTTGGCAATGGGTATAATTTAAATTTAATCTCTCGTAAGCCAAAAAAAAAATGTAAGCGATTATCGCTGGCCTTTTCGGGGTCATTCGTTGTTTCCTGAATGAATGGATTACAAATAATTTAGGTATACTGTTGGCCTGTTAGTTCAATAGCCTGGATTAAGCCTTCATGACAATTCATCTGACATAGAAGAGAGTTTTATCGGGATAAAAATATTCACAAAACTACCAGACCAAATGAAGTTTAAGAAAAGATTTTGTTTAATAAAAAAATTTGGGACTTAAATAACACACAGTTAGTCTGTTTTCTACAGAACCTAAAAATTCAGCATGTAGGAACTCACAGTGGTCTTGAAACAATGATAGGTATGACTAAAATGCCAACCAAAACTGCTTGCATACCTGTTTTGGAAGGCACCCATACACCAATATGCAGTTGGAATTAAAATCATATCTGCTCCTATGCCTAAAATATTGTCAAATGAAAATTTGGAAAAAATTTAACTGCAATTGTTAGTATTTCTTGTTCAACAGAGTATTCTAAAGTTATCGTTTTGTATATTAGTGTAAAAGAAAAACAGATAGTATTTTTCTCGATGATAATATTTCTGGTGTAAGCTATCTGATTGCACATCATGTCTTCTATAAGTCATCCGCAACATAAGTGTAATCACGAAGAGAACAGATTTAAAGTGTGCGCGCCTTGTGGGAGAAAGATTAAATTCGGATCGTCAAAACCTTCAGAATTTAATATAACCGGAAAATTGGTGTGTCTTATTAAAAAATACGTTAGTGAAAATTTTAGATTGACCAATTCGAAGTTCCCATTAGGCATTTGTGGTACATGTCGTAGGGTTCTCTGTGACCGAGATATGGATATACCAAATGCAACGCGGCCTCTTCCAAACATGCCTAACTATGAAGATTCGACAAAAGAAACAAGAACAAGTTCATGCTCTTGTTATATCTGGCTCACTGCTCGGGCAACCAGCCATCCAAAAGTTATACAAGGGAGAGCACATACCTTAAATGTATTGAGTGAAAAAAACTCCACCAATGGGTTGACTGCTTTGTCAGTTGGGTCAGAATTAAAAAATCATGTAAGTAAACTCGCTAAAGCCTTCCGAAGCACAGAAATGTCGGAAACATTAAAAATTCACGTGCTTCTAAATCATTTGGAACATAGTCTGCATTTTTTAGGCAACGACGGCTTCGGAATGTGGTCGGAGCAAGCTGGAGAATCCATTCATGGCGTATTTTTAAGATTTTGGCTCAATTATAAAGTTAATTCGATTGACGACCCTAAATATATAATCAATTAAAAAAAAAAACTGTCGTTGAATTTTCATCAAAACACATATGAATTTATATAAAATAATATTTTATATTGACTTTGTAAATTTATAAAATTTATGCAATAAGAATTATTAAAATATGCAATTATGTAATATTATCTCTTGAATAACTAAGTTAAAATATTTTATGCTTATAACGTAAGAAAGTGTTATAATTATATTACCATAGACCTTCGCGATTATATAACTAGATTTGGAAAGTTCTAGATCAACATTTTATAATATTTTAAGCATAGGAGCAGATGGAATTTTATTTTCAACGAAATTTTGATCTATGATTATGTACAAAGACAGTTATGTAAGCCGTTTTGGTTGGCATTTTAGTCATAGCTATGGTTGCTTCAAGACCACTGTGAACTGTAACAAAATTAAAGTCACTAGAGATATAGAGCACACGTCAGTGCTGGCAGTTACAGCTTTAAAATAGTGAGCCAGAATTCCTCTTCTTCTTCTTGATTGATACTGTAACCACCTATGCGATTCTGGCTGAAAGGATCAGTTTTGCGGCTTTTATTATATTCTCCAATATCGGATTGTAGAAACCAACGGCTGGGGGAGGTACTTCCCAATTCCGTCTGAGCTGGTGGCATTGCTCAACGTAATTTTTAACAGATCTGCAGATTAGTTTACACAATTTTCGAATTTACATTTATGAATATAAGTTTGTGACAAAAACAATGAATTCAGACAATCATCGTTTAGTGCTGCCTAACATTTTTAATATTTCATTTATTTTCTCACAGATACGCGTGTGCATAGATGCGCATACATATGTAGATACACATGTGTGTACACATACACTGGTGGCAGAAATAATAGAAACGACTTTTTTTTTGACAAATATTGGCTATATTTCGTTTGTTTATTTAGTGTTAAATTTTTTTTTTATAAACGTTGAGCTTACTAATAACCTAATAAACTGCATACAAATGCACATTTCAAACTTTGTATGCATACAAGTAATTTTTAAGCAAAAAATAAAACCGACTTAAATTCTCATATAAAAATTTAAGGTTATCGTTAATTTCTTCATGATCAAATGATCGGATTTAAACCAAATTATTATGGGACCACCTGTGAAGTAACACCTTTCCTTTAAGAAAAGGATTATAGAAATCGGTTAACGTGGTAATATTCCGACGAACTGATAACCTTCTACTTTTTGTGAAGTCGGTTAATTATGTACATTCAACAAATTTTCAGAAAAATTTTAGGTATGCAGTTTAAATAAATTTTAGTAAAATTTTTCTGTCAAAATTTTTTTTTTCTAAAAATTCTGAAAGAAAAGTTGTGAAATAGTTGTGAAAATTTTTAGAAGTTTTATAAATTTTGTAAAACGTCTGAAATGAGCTAGACTTTTATAGACAAATTTTAAAAATTAAAGAACCAAAAGAAATATGTATAAACAACCAAAATAAGGCGTTTCCATTATTTCTGCCACCACTGTATACTGTACGTGCGCTAGTAGTAAATGCAATTTTGTTTATTGTCAAATACCTGAAGACATGTGAGAAGCAGCTGCTTGACGGTTCGAAGATTTCTAACCCAGATTGTGGCATTTAGCCAAAAATTCGTAAATTCTCATTCCCACCTGTGATAAAGTTTTTGCTTTGTTATATTTTTTGTTTAGAAACTCTTTCGCACGGTAAATGAAAGCTCTTTATTGGTTGCACTAAAATTTTAAACCACTGGCAGTAAATGGAGATGAAATGCGCTACACCTCTTTGAAATATTTATAAATCTTTAACTGCCAGCACAAGTCTCCTTTGATTCAGACATATTTAGCACTAGGACAATAACTTACGTCTCAAATAACAAAACTAAAAAAAGTTCAAACGACTTACCTCAGTTTCTCCACAGTTGCGTTGTTGTCATTACTTCTGCTGTTGTGTCCATTAAATTTGTCATATATCAATTCACTGCCGTCCTCTGTTATCTCGATCGTTGACTTCTGGTGCATCCCGTTCATGTGCGCAAATGATTTGTTAATGCCACCACCGAGTACACTGTCGTCAACACTGCGTACCTTCGGCGTCGTTTGGTCACTGCCTTCCACATGAATTGGTATAAAATGCACATTACCGATGCTGTTGCCCGTCGCACCGTTGATGTTGATAATCTGCTCACTGCCGCCACTACCCCCAAAGGCATTGTCTCCTGCGACCGTGGAAGACGCGGAACCATTTGCACCCGATGCTCCGGTCGTTGACTCGACCACAACATCCGGCAAACTTATGCTCTCAATGCAAACCAAACGTTCATTGGGATCCAATTCTGCAACATATTCGAGATCGTCATACTGCAGCAGCGTCTCATCGCAATCAGTCGAATTGCCATCCCGCACGAAGGGCAAACGTTGATGTGACGGCGGTTGTGACTGATGCTGCTGTTGCCGACCGTTGTGCTGTTGCATTGTTGGCGAACCGCTCTTGATGGCACGCGCAGTACGCGTTTCATTGTCGCTACTTGAATGCCGGCGACTATGCGACGATGTCGATGAGCAGTGAGAGTCGATGCCACTAATACCCGAGTCGGGGTAACTGGTGCTCAGATTGGAATCGCTCGTATTAGCACTTTTGAGAGCATTGCTCTCAGGGCTTTCAAAATGTTGGCTGCCCTCAAATTCAATGTCAAGGTTGTCAGCGCCAACGGTCTTGGCTATGTCAACATTCGCATCAGCTTCGATGTCGTCGGAATCTGAGTCTGCGGCACTGTCTGCTTCGTAATTTTCATCCTCATCCTCCTCGTCATTTTCCTCTTGCTCGGGCACATTCTCAAGTTTGGTGTGATTGTAGCGCAATGACCATTTTGGTTGGTAAATATTTTCCGGTGTTTCCTGATTGTGGAAAACCTCATCTTCTTCGATGTCATCAGTTACTTGATTGTTGTGTTCATCGACAGCGTTTATTTCTACGCCACTGCACTCCCGTTTCGTAGGTGGTTCATTCTCAAAGTCGTAAAATACCTCCTGCTCCACCGGGCTACCAGCAATGCCCTCTTTTTGACTACTTAGACTACCGCTGCAATCTACAACAGTTATTTTCGGCAAAATGGGCAATACGTGTTGCTTATCGTCAACACATTCACACGCATCGTTATTACTTGCATCTGGTAAAAGAGATTCGCGAAATTCACGCGGAGTACTGGCACGGCGGCAGGGTGCGGTATCGCTTGGCTTGGCACTCGTCTGTCCCATATGCTCAGCGGATCGGCAGGCTAACGTCGAAAAAGATTCTAATGACGCCGGTAACGCACTTGTCTCCCGTTCGTTATTCCCGCTATTTTCCGATGAGCTCGAAGTTGTTGTTGTTGTTGCTATGGAGAATGCACTATGCGGTGCCGCACTTGCAACACTACATTTCGTGACTTCCACGTTGCACTGATTGGCTGTGATGGCACTATAATTTACACTTTCGTACGCACTCTCTTTTTCTTTATTCTCGGTTTTCACCACACACTCAATTCTATTTACGTTTTTCGTTTCGTTTTGATCGCTAGCTTTGATCGTTGGACCCCTTTCACGTTTACAATCATCCGTCTGATCCGTGTTGCTTTTTTCCGTGCCTGCCGTGTTCACGTTACCGTTCAAATCGGCACTTACTTCGCGAATAATGCCACACTCGCTGCTGATAGCCTCATTCAGCCTCCGATCAGCCGACTCCTCTTCGATAGCAATATTCTCACTTTGGGCTCCAGCCTCGCTCACGCTCCACTGCGGATCAGCTGAGCGAGAGCGAAAATTGGTGTACGTTGAAGTTACTTTAGCGCTCTTCAGCGTTTGCTGTTCTCCCGCTGAATTGCTACGTCGCTGGCGCTCCACCTCTTCGGCCATTCGGCTGGCATTCTTCGCACTATTATTAGACATCGTTATTTGATAACTATTTGTGGATGCTCTCAAGGGGTCGGAGATCACTTCAAGGTGTGTACTAACCAAATTATTTTGACCATTTTGCATTACTACGACTGGATCTGCCTGGGGGGAGCTGTTATTATGAATGTTTTGAGGGGGATGATGATGTTGGCGATGACTATTGTTGTTGACGTTTGTTGACGAGCTGACAGGTGCGAACGTACGACCGTCCTTCGTTGGCGGTTGTTGTTGTTGCTTTTGTTGTTGTTGCTTTTGTTGTTGTTGAAGTTGTGCCAATTTTTGTTGGTGCTGTTGCCGTGCAAGTGTTTGTAGGTTTTGGGGTGTATTTTGTGTTTGTACTTGTGGGTTGCGATTACGATTGTGATTACGTCCACGCGCCATAAATAAATCACTAAGAAATTCTTTACTCTTTTTCAAGGCTCTACTACCAGCGCCGCTAACACTTTTTTCTGGTTTAAAATTTTCGAACGCGGCTATAGATTCGTTTTCGTAGGGCGTTTCTGTGTCACTACTCTGCGAACGTCCGCGCAAGAATGAATTTCTAAATGCTTTGCCGAGTTGCGACCGTTTTTTCTGCTCGCGACCTGAACAGCTACTCGAACCACTGTAATAGCCGGTGACACTGCTGGAATCTGTGTTGGCCGTTGAGACGTCGGTTATACTTTTACTTCGCGCACCCTTTAAATTCAGTCCCAATGTCAGCGATAGTCTCGATTGTCGTTTCGCTTCGGAATTTTTCTGCACTTTCGATGTTCTATTTGTATTATTCAAGTTTCGATACTTCACTTCGTTAACTGCAGCAGCATTCGCTGTGTCGCTAGCTAATGCAATCTGCTCATTAGTGGAAAATGCGTTGCTTCCTTGCCTATTGACGTTGGCATTTCTAATTCTATTTTCATTAAAATTAGTCGCTTTGACGGCCCTTTCGACATTTTCCGCACCCGCGGCGTTACTTGCATATGTGCTTTTCGACTTTTCTTGAACAAATTCGCGCTGATCTGATTCGATTATTGATCGATTGGCAAATCGATCGTTTTTAGTATATTTTTTGCACTTGGCAGACGGTGGAAATCGCCCCTGCCATTCAGCTTCTTCGTTCGAACTGCCGTAGCAATTCAACGAGTCAGAGTCATGGCAATACACACCGCCGCGCACAGCGGATGGTCGTGCGAAACGAACGTCCTCGTCGCGTTCGAGCCCGTCATCGTGTCGAAAATCTAATGTGTTTGGCTGTGCAGAAAATTTTTTTATTTGGTCTACATCTAATTCATATTGGGTGGAATCATTAGTACGCAAAGTGGCCGATTCGATAGGCCATGCAGACGACTGTGCTCTGTTGGCGGCTGCCCCAGCCTCTTCTATCGCCGCACTGCCCTCCAAATTAAATTCTGTTTGTTCTTTTGCTACGACTGTGGCTGCCGCATCACTTAGTGTTGTGTTGTTGGTAGCTGTTGTTTTTGCTAAATTTAATTTGCACCCCACTTCGCGATCGCGCTCGCCATCAACGCGTTTGCCGCTAAAATAGACACATCGCTCGTTGGTTGCTGCCACACCGCCGCCCCTAAATAGCCCCGCAGACACCAAACCAGTCTCATCACTTCTCGCATCATCATCACAGTAGTCATTTTCGTCTTCTTCTAAATCTTTTAAATCATCGAATTCGTCTATTTCTGCACGCCTATACGTTTTACCAGTGTTTTCATGTATTGGTAGTCGCGCTCGTCGCTCATATCGCTGGCGCTCCTGCTCATTTTCACGTTCTCGTTCGCGTTGACGATGCCACTCATTATATGATCGATAGTGCTCAATTGATCCAGTTAAATGGGGTTTATCATCACCAGTAGCGCGCTCTACTGGCGCTCCCGCTGAATAGCGCGCTGCTTTGGGACTTTTCTCCTGACTCGGTTTCTTTTTCTTCTTTGTGGAACGCCGCAGCAAACTAAACATACTTTGAGGCGCTTCTTTGCTGGTATGTCGCTCAGTGTGATTGCTATTTAAGTACTCACTTAGACGCGTGTTTATTTTATGCTTTGTTTATGTTATATGCCGGTGCTTGCTATGATTATTTATAGATCATTCGCATTTGTTGGGTGTTTAGCTTGGTTGCTTTTTAATAGTTTTCGTTCTTTATCTTTCGGTTACAGAAAAATCTGAGCTTGGCAATTCCTGATTTTTTTATCTTCTTCAACTCGGAATATCTACAGGTCGTTGTTTCCGAATGTGAGATGTCTTTCAAGAAATTGTCGTTTTTTGGTGGCGTATGTATGTATATTATTTACTAATGTTGTGGTAGGCTGATATTTCCATTAATTTAAGAATACAAAACTTCATTTATAGGATCTTATATGTTATCTGTTGTGTGTTACATATCGTTACCTTAATATAGAAAATTTGTATGGCATAAAATGATGCGGCGACTTTCAATTCGATGAAATGCATCAATCAAAAATTGAATTTTGGTGTTTAGTTAGTTACGGCTTTTTTTATTTTAGCGACGATGTGAGATAGGACCTTTCTGCATTAAGGTAACGATATAAATGCATATCAGGTAAATATTTATATTGGTTAAATTTTACATTTGTACTTACTTGGTTGCTTCGTACCTCGGTAGGACATTTTCGCTGTAAAAAGGAAGAAAATAATGTAATTAAACAAAGTACCTAAAATATGCCAACACTTGCATACAGTTGTGATCAAAAAAATGTAATACTGATTTTCGAGCGCGTAAATAAATATCTACTTCAACTTTAAACAAACAAAAAATAAGGAGTTTCAAATTATATTAATCCTTTAAGTCTTACTGATTTTTTCGCGAGAAGTTACGAGTATTTATCATTTATTTTATATATTTTTTTCATAAAAAAAAATAATTTGAAAATTTACATGTTTTAGATTATTAGTAAAAAATCAATGTGGGTACGCGACTTTTCAAATATATGCAAGTTTCTTTAGTTTTCGATTTTCACTTTCTTTTTGCGCATTGAAAATACCTCCAAAAATCTAATTTTTTATAAATAAAAATAGTTTTTTAAAAGTATTTTTTAATAAAACTCACCCCAGATAAGAAACAATTTAAGCCTAAAAATTGGCATAAAAATATTTAAAAAAATTCTACGGAATCATATTGATGCTGTTTTTGAACTTTGTGAACTCTGTGAAGGTTTAAGAAAAACTTAAATAACTCAGCCAAAACTTTACCGATGTAGACTTACGAAGTATCTTTGGAAAGGTATGTTCTCACTCTTTTTATTTATTTACAAATAAACTCATTCAAAGTATGAAAGAGAAAACTAAGATGAACGAGCGTAATTTCAAGTTGAATTAAGTTGTGTTGATATTTGAATAATTGGGACGTCAATGAGTTGTTTTGCAGATAAATAAACCTTTCCACTGATACCTACGGTGACCATATTAACCAACGTAAAATAAAAGAAATTTTTTTCAAAATGATTTGGGAATACGCACATACAACTTGTATGATAAAAGTACCTTGCCCATATCGTAATTTAAATCTAATATTTACCAGGTAATTATATTATTTAATTGTTTTGCAGATAAATAAACAAATACAAATAAGTGCCCCCGCTGTAGCGAAAAATGTTCAAGGACTTCGCCATCCTTTGCTACCAAAATGCGTTTACCATAATTCATACTGCACGACGAAACCAACACATAGTGGTTCAAAATTGGAATTCAATGTTCATAATCCATCGCAGCCTTAATTTTTCTACCAATTTTTATTAAAAACCAAAAAAAAAATATTTATTTTGGTGAACATTTTTTTGATGACATTTAAAAAAAATTTTGTTGTGTATTTTTTTGTTTTGGGAGAACCATACAATTGTTTTCAACAAGTTTTTGTTATGTAACATTTAGTAACTGGAACAGGAGAATACATTTTCTTCGAAATTGCTACTTTTTCTACATTTTGCACTCAAAATTTTAATATAATCAAATTAAAATTCAGAAATCAGGCTCAACTGGTCTCATGCAAATATTGTAAGCTTTCATAAAAAAAAATAAAAATTAATCAAATTAAGTGCAAAGTGGAATGAATGAATGCCAGTTTTGAACCACTGTGAAGGAGGGGGTGTATTGTTCTCTTTCAGTAGAACTGGAAACTCAGCGTGCAACACGATCCTAGGCAGAACTTTCCCTGTGCTTTATAGATTGTACAAAGATTATCGATTAAATAGAAATCTGAAGTGGGGTGCGAAACAAACTGGCGAAAGTTTTCATTATATTTTATAAGGGACATTTTTATTTTTCATATTCTGCGTTTAAAAATTTACCTCTGAAAAATGCAAAGCCGATTTAAAGGACAGTATAAGAAATAAAGGACAAAAGGCGTCCTTTATTTTGAAAAAAAATCATAAAGGACAGGGGGTTAAAATAAAGGACTGTCCTTTAAAATAAAGGACGGATGGCCACCGTACTGATACCTGCCATCTAAGCTGGTATAGTTCCGGCCCCGTTATTTAAGTTTTCTTAAACTAATATTTAAAAAAAGTCAAAAAATCTGATTATGTGATTCCATTAAAAACGGTTTACTATGTTATAAGCAGTTTTTTTTAAGCTTAAGCTATTTTGTAATCTGAGAGGAGTTTTTTTAATTCTTTAAGAAACTATTTTTATTCATAAAGAACTTCATTTTTGGTGCGATTGCTAGACGTACTTATTTTATCAGTACAGTACAGATTATTCCACTCTTGTACTGATTTTATTCATTACGGTAATGTCCTGATTTTTCAAAATTTGTACTGATTTGTACTGAATTTCCTATTCAAACAATATACTTTAGTATTTTCTTAAGGTTTTTACAAAACGTTGGAACTTCCTTAAACTGTATTGTAAAAAATAAGAAGAAAATAATTTAATTATAGTTGACATGATTCAGATAATGGTTGATATGCTCAAGAAATTAGTACTTAAAAAAAAGATCAATCATTTTATGGGCATATCCCCGGGTCGTTACGTTCCAGTTGCGATAATATGATGGAAGTTTAATTACTAAAAAAGAAGGCTAACATTTTTTTGTCGAGTGTTGCTAGTTATCTCGAAAATAAACTTTCACTTTCACTTACTGACATTGTAAAAGAGTTTTGCATACAAGACATAGAGTTAGATACTCTTTTTAGCGAATTCTTATTCTTTCAAAGTTTTTGCGTAGTTCAAAATTTTAATTTAAGCCATGAGGAATTATAGATGATGTCCATAAATAGTGATACTATTACACAGTTTAAAAAAATATGTATTTTTTTTCATAACAAAACTCAAACGAAGCAACTGGAGGATCTTAAGTATAAAGTTTGCTTCCTGGCGCAAAGGGAGATACCAGCTTCTAAATAAACATTTTTTATTTTTTTTTTTTTTTGAAGACGGAAATGATCTCATTATTGCTATTAATAAATGTCATAAATATTAGATACTGTGTACACAGGGTGGTCCAAAAAACAGTAAAGTCGGATTTGTAATGCTTTCACCCCCTGTTCTATATCGAAAAAAAGTACACCAATTTTTTTTTATTTTGAGTTTAAAATATATTTAGAGGTCGCTCAAAGCGCTCAAAGTTTTCCATGTATTTTTATATGGGAAAAAACATTTTTTCGTAGAAATGGTATAGAATTCTTGAAAATCAATATTTTTCGATCTCTGGTTCTCTTCAGGGGACTTCGATAATAATACCCAACTGTTTATTTAGCCATTTTTTGATACTCACGATTTTTATTGGTCCGCCCATTGCATTTTTCGCAGTTTTTGTGGGTTTTTGGCGGACTTATAAATTAGAGTTGCGAAGAAAAGAGGTTAAATAAACAAATGGGTATTATTATTGGGAATCTCCTGCAGATAAACATAGTTTTTCGATAGAAAAATATTAATTCTTAAGAATTCTATATTGGGATTTATTTTTTCGGTATAGAACAATCCTAGGGGGTGAGAGCATAAAAATGCCGACTTTAGTTCTTCGCATGCATTTTTGGAACACCCTAGTGTACAATGAAGTGCACACTCATGTCAAAATTAATAACACTTTTCTTATGAACTATATTTTATTTATGTACGAAAATATTGTGAAAAACAACTACTCTGGCGTTTTAAAGATTATCTGATGCTTACATTCATATTTTTTCTTTGCATAAAAATTTACTGAAAAGTACTGATTTTTTTAGCATGAAAAAGTATAACCTACTGATTTCTGGCAACCCTAATTTTTTGAGATATTTTAAATCGGTGCAAATTACGTAAATCTTAATATTGTTCCGATATATTTTGAATGAAGTTTTCAAATATACAAAATTTTGTAATCCCGGCGGAAAACCGCAACATTTTTTTCGAGATGCAGTCTAATGTACATACATACATAAGTACTTATTAAGTATGTATAACCTTACTATTTCTGATACAAACTTTATAAATATAATAATACGGGTTTCCACTCCTGCCCATCTACAGGAAATATTTTTTGTGGAGTTATTCCTTTTCTTATAGGAAATATGTATTATAACTGAAGACATGAAAGGATGGAGGTCATATATAAATATGACGCAAAATTTAGATTTCCGTCTTAAAGTCCATGACTGATTCTTAATATGATCGCAATTTATGATATATGATTTTATGAGTTATTAAATTTGATTTTACGAGTTATTAAATTTAAATGTTTATTCTGTCCAATAATGAGCATGCTAAGTTTTGCCATCGAGCAGTCCAATAACCTTAACCCTACAATGGTCACGAGGTCTACGATCGTAGACCACTTCTTTTAAAATAGTGCTATCTTTTAATTTTCTCTCTTAAGCTAGTTGCGCTTTTCAATAGCTGTTGCTAATACGTGTGCTCACATAATCAGTGAGTTAGGTGCGCTGAGACGGAGCGATTGGAAATTATATCACGGCTGAAACATGACTGGTCTACATATGTAGACTACGTGACCAATGGCGTTTTAGTTTTTTGCTTCAACATTATATTTGAAATTCATTATTTTGATAGGTAAAGGTAAGTAATATTTACTAATTTTTCATACTCATGAAGTTAAAACAATACTGTTTAGAAAAAACTATGTCAGAACTAAAACAAAGGTAAGCGGAGACGCCCAAGATTTTTACAGTGTTTTTGAGACGGTTGGACGAACTGCCCATTGGAAAAGAGCGCTGCTATGTTTTCTCTAGCCAAAGCAAATTATGTCGGCCGTTTTCATATCTGCCCTCGAAGTAAGAATAATTATTCCAGAAGGGCATGTGTAAGTTGAGACAGATTTACTGGCAAAACGCGCATAAAGAATGCCTGCACATTTTGTGTAAGTGAGTAAAATTTTCCTAATTTCAGAGGCCTCTAATTAATTTATTTTTCGATGGAATTTTGCTTTTGGTTTTTTTAAGGCAAATGTTTAAATGCTTTGTTACGATGAAAAATAGTTTGTTCATTGTTTTCAATAAATAAATATATTTATTCAATTAATTAATTGTATGTCTGTTCTCAAAAACACCAAAAACTGGATGCAGTGTGTTTCTTTGGGTCCTTTTTAAAAAATATTTCGCCTTAAAGTCTAACCCATGCGATTTAAAAGTTCCAAAAATGTATTTGATGCTGTATTATCATTTGTGTTCTCATAATTATTTGT